CGGCAAACAAAGGTGAAATCAATAAAGCCATTTAAAAGAAAGCGGAAGAAAAGTCTGATCCTATATTTCTGATCGAGTGAAATTCCAGAGCTCCTAACGTAATTGCCGTCCAAAAGAATTCATTATACGCTTTCCTCGAGAGACGAGTCGCAGCGAGAGCGCGAATTCATTCCAGCGGCACAACAACTCCAAGAGAAAAAAACAAGTGTCAGTGTAATATCAGAGGAGTGATGAAATTACGAGCTACGCGACTTTCTTTTTTCCTCCTGTCCAGTCTAATACGTTGACACGACCGCCAACCACCCGCCCGCGTCGACCGAAGGCTCCCTCGATACTGCTGCCTCATCAGTTACCCATCGGCGGCTATATCGTTGGTGCACACACACATACACGTACCATCTATAAGCTGTAGGATTATTGATTGGCAAAGAAATAAGGTGCATCGAGTTGATTTCTAAAGACCTATCGCTATAATTGAAAAATACAAATATCCAGAAAAAACAACAGAGATATAGAACGTGCGAATGATGCGCCGTCTAAAATTACGAGAGTAAACAATGTAACAGCTGTTGCTTGGTTTAAAACTATTCAATGCCGGCGCTATTAAGTTATAACTGCCTTTTCTACACTCGTATATATAGTCGTATACATAGGGATCGTGGCATGCTTCCAATAAAACAGCTGTTTGTTATCTTTCGTTTATAAAATAGAAATCGATTGTTCCACACGTACTCATAAATGCTTCGCAGATGCATATTTGCTTTTGGTAAACAACACTAATATTTTCACGTTATTACTAATTCCCAACGTATTTCATTTCGACTTCAATTCTTACCATCATAAAACTAATAATCTAAATCTCTCTTTTTGATCAATAGCCGTATTAATCTTTATCAGTGTTTTATCGATCAATGAAATTGATTCGTAAAGAAAAATCTAATAGCAGACTTTGAAAAAGAGAGAAAAAAAAAGAAATCGTGAACACTTGAGTGAAACTAAAGCTCTCGAGCAATTGTACCGAAAAGATTTTTTTGAAGCTTTGACGACCCGCGAAATGACATGGCTCTTAGGATCTCGCTAAAGAGCCGCTTTTTTGTCGCGCATACGCTTTCTCTCTCTTTCTCTCTCTCTCTCTCTCTCTCTCTCTCTCTCTCTCTCTCTCTCTCTCTCTCTCTCAGGCAATCGGACAAGAGCGAAAAAGTGGATGAGGGAGAGGAGCAAGTGGAGTAGTGCAGTAGTGGTGATAGGTATAGTAGTAGAAGGGTATAAAGTTGGAAAATCGATGTAACACACGAAGTAGAGTGAGAAAGAGAGAGAGAGAGACACACAGAGACAGAGATAAAACGTACAGCTGGAAGGGACACAAGGCAAATAGATCCTGCAGTGCGATTTTCGCTTGGACGACGTATAACAGTTGATTTTGATTTGAAAGCTGTACCCATGCCACTACCATTCACGAGCTGATAAGATGGATGAGTTAACATAGCGAATGATGGATTCGATCGCGCGAGGGCACGCGCGCGCTAGAGCTACTAACCGCTTTTACAGATATGATAGTTTATACTGATTGCTATTTTCTTTTCATTTACGCCCACGTGCAGAGTTAAGTTCATCGAACACGATCCTAGGTATAGATGCTCGCGCAGCCATATCTGTGGAACTGCAGATATGTATGCAGCGTATTCTTTTTTCTACGATTGAATTTTATAAATAATTTTTTGTCAAATACTGCTACTTAAAATCGTTATAGTTTGGTCGTGAAAGAAACTATAACAGACACAGGCTTAACGAAAATACAATTGAAATCAGGCAAATAGCGAATTAGATGAAATGACCGAGAATAGCAATAAAAAGTGAATGCAACTAATGACGCAAAAAATAAGAAAGTAAAGAAAATTTTCCTTCGGTATCAAAAAACACGTATAGGGAAATTGAGATACTCAGATCCAAAACTATTACGCAATAAGGGCACCGCAATGATTGCGAACTTCTGGGAAAAAAAACAAATATGAACGGGGCGCATTAGTAGTAAAGCGGAGAAAAAAGGCCGCCGAACCCTCTTCTTGTATTGTGTTTTTTTACTTCACTGCCGTCGCTTCTGCTACTACTGCACGTTACACCAGTACGTGTAGAGAGGAGAGGCTCGCAACCTTGACCTATACTTCGCACAGAGGGGAAAGCAAGTCAAGCTTGCTTTAATTTTTCGTCGCCTTCGAAAAAATATTTTCTCAAGGTCTTTTTCATTTGCTATGATTAATATTTGAGGGAGAATGATAGTTTCGGAATGTATTATGGTTTATGGAGTTCCTATTGTAATTAGCGTCAAGCACGTCCGTTACAGGGAGTAATATACTAACGGCGCAAAGACTAACTTTAATTAACATTTGCCAAGTTGTGTAGACTATACTATACAGGCGTGCACGGGGGTTGATATTAATTGTGCTTGGCGTTTGTTTGCCACAGCAGCTGCAAGTGCAAATTGTTTGACTGATTTGAATTTTCATGAGAGATTTCACCTTTGACATGAAGTGCCCAGGCCGTGCGCATTCAAAATTTAATTTCAAACTTACGTTCTAAATAGCACACGAGTTTGTGTGTACGAAAATATTTGGTATTTAAAATCGAAATAATGAGGGATTTTGTGAATGACAAAAAAATAACTAAATAAAATAAAGTGCTCGAAACTGAAGGAGGCTGTGTCTGTGGATGAAACTATATTTTCCCTTTGTCTCTTTCTTCGGGTTATAATGAAAAACAAAAGCGACCGCTTAAAAAAAAACGTGTCAGAATACACGAGGCACATTAAACGATAAAAGAAAAAAAGCTTTGCATAAAATACAACTAAGTAAACACATAACAATGCGTCCACTCGTCAAATACCACGACATTGTACATAACGCATAAGAGCATACGCTCGTCTACAAAATGAAAGAAGAGGGTAGTGACAATATGAAAAATAATTACGTCCCACCCCATGCATCTGCATCGGAGTGGTCCTAAATCGCGAAAAGAGAGATGGTGGGTAGGCTGTGAAAAAAAATTATTTTGTTTTTTTTTTTTTTTTTGAAAGACTAACGAGGCAACATAACACAATGGAGTTACACCAATTTCCAATGGGTTACAATGGGTGACAGTGGTATGATAATGACGAGTCACCTCTCTGCGTTCGGGTCGATGCGCGAGTTACCGCGGTTACGGACGAGGGAGACAGGCACGTGCAAGGTATTAGGGTTGCCAATGGCTAAGCAGAAAGATCCGTAATGAGCTCGGTTTAACTGTGCTATTGACTGTGCGAAAATGTTAATGAGCTATTTACACGCGAATTCACCATAGCTAAGCTTTATTATTATGTGTGTCTGCTTATTTCCTACGCAGATAGGGACGTACGAGAGCACACGAGATTCAGTCAGTTAAAAGTTTTTTCAATAATTTCATATTAATATATCCTCCGAGACAAAATTTTTCTCTAAACTTCGCCATTGATATTTTACTCCTTAAGATTTTCTCTCGAAATCGTTTGACAATGTCGGCTGAAAATAAAAGAGAAAAATCGTACCATTCAATTATCACATCAGCCAATAAAACATTGAATGTCCGTAGCAAAAGAAAAGGGAGTTCAGATAGGGATGGCGAAACTTTTAATTGAAATCCGAATGGAAAAAGTTTGTCCGACAAGAGAAGAAAGAGCAATATTCAAATAGCAGTAGTGCGCGGATACTCGAACAAAAAGAAAAAAAAAGCGAAGTAATTGATCCTCGACATTTGCGCGCTTGCGCTAGGCACAACTCGCTGGAAAACAAAAGGCACCCCAACGATATACGAACGCGTGCACACGAACAGACACACAAAGTAACATTGCCGGTGAGGTAGTCCGATAGAGTGCTACTTGTTGGCGCATCGAATTTTCTCGAGGCCTAAAGCTGTCACATGTGCACACTGGCGAAAAGCGGAAATCAATATGGAAAAAATAAAAGGCCTTTGAAAAAGGCTCGACGAGTATATATGTATATTTAAGGTCAAGGGCTCGTTCACTAACGAAAACGAGGACGTTCTCGTTTTCTTCCTTAATAGACTCAACAAAACGCGTCCCACACGCGCACACACATACGCACAGAAATTATACTTGACAACGCGCGTGTTTACGCGAGCGCGAAATTAAACAAGCTACCAAGCAAGCGAGTAAGCGGAGAGCCAGAGGGAGAGGGAGCATTTCAGTAGTTACCCTCGATGTGGATGCGCCACGGCTAGTACAATTTATTTAGCAAAATGAGAGTCGATTGATCAGTTATCTTTTTTCCGTCGGTGTTCCCGTTAATTGCTTGAGGTAATGGCTATTTGATCTTAAGCATTGACAACATTTTAGTTTGGTTTGTAAGCCAGTAGAAATTGTATGTGAAAACTCGTTTTTTTCATATATGCTTCGCATGATTTATTATTTATTTATTATTGGTAAACAATCATTTTCTACGCCATAAAACGTTCGTGAAATTTTGTCACATCTATTTAACGAATAATAAAGAATTTCAATATTATCAAACATCTGTCGATTTGAATAGCTTATTCGTTAAAAACATTATAATTCGACGAACATCATAACATGAAGTCGCCGACCATTTATAAATATCACGGATGAGGTATAAAATTAATATTCTTTGCACGCGCAAAATGACAAATTATTTGAGCTCGGTATCCTATCGACAAAGCCACTCTCATATCAAAGAAGAACGCGCGCACATAGACAAGATGAGTAACATGAATCTCACGTCTTACCCAGATTCAGCTCTGCGAATAAAACGTACGACTAGAGGGAGCGTTCGAAAAGAGATAAAAGTAAAAATGAAGGCTAACTCCAAATGGCTTATAATCCAAAGAAGATCTCTCGAGTCGACATTTATCTTCGACGATAAGGCAAAGGGAACGAACAATACAGGAGGTGAGGAATGTTTAGATACAAACAACACAATGTATGTCGACTATAGCTGGGTTTAGTGACTACTCACTTTGTCGTCAACCTGCGCAACACTGGGCCTCGTGAGCTTGAGCGAGATCGGGCGCGCGCGCGCAAAACTATATGCTGCGTCCCTTCCACAACGTCGCTTTGTCTATTAATATAAATTCTGACTTCTCTCCCAGGCCTGTCGTGTGCTAGCACACACACACATTCGCAACTGAAAAACCGTAACAGTCATATATTTATACGTCAAGTTTGCCGGCACGCCGTAGCGCTGTTTGTTTTTACGTGTTTATGCGTATGCAGTGCGTTATTTCCGAGTTGAGTGCTGAGCAAGTGAGATGCGAACGCGACGCTTGCCGCGACGATACTGCCGCCTTATTGGCCGTCCATGCGCAAATATACCACCGCCCTCTCTTCCCTCTCGCGCGCTCGCGGCGGTGGCAACCCCACCATTTCTCCCCCCGTGGCCGCCAACCCGCCCGCCTTACTACTATACCTACGACGGCTGCTGCTGCTTGTGCTGGCTGCTCTTTATTTCGCTTCTCTTCACCGCTAGCGCGCTGGCTTGCGACTGCACGCGCACTTATCCAACCCCCTCCCCGCCTGCTCGAAAGGACGATGCCTGCAAGCTCGCGCGTGAGAAAAAGGTGGAGGTGTGCTCTCGAGCAAAGGCCTGATTGTTGTGCTGCCTGTGGGACAAAGTCAATCGTTGGAGAAAAGTCGGCAAGATAAAAATAATGGGTGAAGTAAGCGGCGAGCATAGTTAAACGGAGGGTGGGAGAAATTGTCTCTTAGTTGGAGGTCGGTTCGCCTCGTGCTCTCGCGTTGTCTCTCGCGTTGTCTATCGCGTTGTCTATCGCGTTGTCTATCGCGTTGTCTCTCGCTTGCTGCCGCTCGCGGCTTGTTAGCACGACAAAGGGCTTACCCACCGTGGCTCTGCGCGCGCGCACACACACACCTGCACAACAAAAGAAAATTAAATGCCCTGGCTGCATATTGCGCGCTGTCTCGTGAAATTTTTATTAATCATTCCGCTACCTAGGCGGAAAACTTTTTTCCCCTGCCTATACCCCATCCCTCTTTGGATTTATTCGTGTTTTTTGCGGATTATTATTCTTCTTTTTCTTAGAAAGTGATAGAGTTTATGAGAAAATAAGCTATCCTAGTTGATATTTTTATAATGTCATATTTTTCCCCTCGTGGATAAATAATACCTTCGGTTTCCTCGTTAGTATAAATAGATTCTTTGTTATATAGACTTCTTTGTGTATAAGCAGTATACCGGAAGCTCAAAGGATTCTTTTATGGTATTGAGTTAAAAATATAATAACGACGATGCACGACGCTGCTTTTACGTATAAGTTATCTAGAGCGCAACGATTGTAAAGCAATATTTTTACAATACGGCTCACTGATTTATCATTACATCGCTGACGTCTAGTGAGCTTCGCCCGCTCGTCTTTTTCATCCTTTTTTTCGCATTCATTTTAATGCACGAATATGGATCAAAAATTTTATTGGCGAAATTGAAAATTCAATTTTTCTTAAATAATCCCGTAATTTTATATGAGATATAACCGCGGATATTAGTTACTGGTAGAAAAATATGCAGTGTACGATTAAAAATTTTTATCAATGAAGTTTTAAGTTTTTATCATCTGAACTTCCGTGTTGAACAATCGTCAAAAGGTTTCAAACACACGATAAAAAATGTAATATATGTTCGGAAAATATAGTTTTCTATAATTATATCCATCACGATGTAAATAACAAATTTGCTAGACATGTTCACGGTTGTTTTTAGTGCATTTGAATTTTCTTGTATTTCAAGTAACTGAATAAAGCCGAAATCACTGTACAAAATTTCATTGTCATAATCTGCGGTTTATATCCTTCATTGCTTATTTTGTTATTCGAAGTTAAACTTATTCGCATAGAGCAAAGTTCAATTAATTTTTCTATCGAGGTATAATCAGACGGTTTTCATTTTGAGATTAGTATAAACAAATCGATTAATCTATATTGAATTCATACCAAAATACAGATGAACTTTTCGAACGTTTAATCATTTACGAAAATCTGTAGTGATCTTTAATGTGCGTACGTAATATATATATATGCTGTTAACATAACGAATGCTGATCCGTGATTACGATCCTTCGGCCAATCAAATCACGAATAAACTGCCTTAAGAAAGAAGGATAATTCTAGATTATTTTATTACTACACACATAATGAAATATGCATAGCGGATTATCTTGTTGCATAAACAGAGAAAGATGTACGAATTGCCGTCTACTCTCGTGTATTTATTTGCTTTGATACTTTCGAGGATTATCTCTCGCGCGCGCTTGCTAGCGTTATGAGTGAGCTTGATATTGTATAAACTTCTCCTTCTCGTTTACGATAAGATCGTGTGCAATATAAGATCGTCGTTCATTTTCATGTAAACCACTCGAGCAGAGATGCTTCAAGCTTTTCCAGCTTATCGATGATGGGAGGAGACTTTTGATATGCATTAAAGAAACTTTCAATTGGGCGCACTTGGAGGATTCTAATTTGAAAGGTTTACTCGGACCTAGATTCCACATATATTTAATTTTGCAATAATTCGAAATTATAATAGTTGGCATTCATTCAGTTTTACTGCTTGCAATGAGCTACGCGAGGTTTCAAATAAATAGAAGAGTAAGTATAAGAATCGTATCTATAGAGTGCAAGGTGCCATTGATTTTATTAATCCGAAGCATCCACAAACGCATCGCCAAAATAACATTATGATTCAAGACTCTCTGGCAAAATATTATTTCTTGTCGATTGCTTTGACAAACCCTATTTCAGGTATATCGCTTTCCCACATTTAGAATAGATCAGCTTATTTTTAGAAGCGATCCACAGTAAACATTGTACATATTTACATTTCCGATGTAGAAAAATAATGGTGGTTTCTTTTTTGTGGTAAAGAACATCGATAACGCCCATCTCATGTAGCGAGCCCTGACAATGTAAAAGTAGAACTGCGACGAGAAACAAAAATAAGAAAACGACGCCATTTACACCTTCGTATACAGGCTTAGCTTTTAGCGACTATGCGGGCTTTCGTTATTTCCAAGCTCGACCTACATTCGTTTGAACGTTTCCGCGGGATACACGCGACACACAACTCGCAGAGAAAAACCTTAGCGAAAGCGCGTGGGTGTAAAGTAACAAGAAAAAAAAAAGGAAAAACGAGCAAGTACCAGAAGGCAATAAGAGTGATACTACTTGTCGCGAATGAGAACAATTAAATGTTGCGGTTAATTTTTCAATTCTCGTTGGCGCTTTTGCAAGTATGCGCGAAGTGTAGAGTTCGCTGAAAATGAAAGATAAACATGCGCGCGAGGTACTGGTTATTTCTGTTTTTTTGCTTTTGCTCGACTTCGCTGCTGCTTCAAGGTGGACTTAATTTTTCAAATTACCCGCACGCGCCTTGAGACTGCGGCAATTGCTCACAAGCGAGCCTAGCTTTCATTTTCATACCTGAAGCTACGCGCACGCAATAGAAATAATTTTGTTCGGTTCTATGCGCCACCGTACGATATTTATTTTAGCTGGATCATGCGATACATTTCGGGACTTGATAAAGTGAAGTTTATATCTTTTACGACAGGCTTACTTCAAAAAAATATGTAGTGACTGATTAATCGTTTTCCGACGACATTTAGCACCTGGAAACGTAGTAAGGGGCACAGAAGAATAAAAGCTAAGAGCTGTCAACGTAAAATACATCCATCGTCGTAAATCCAGCGACGATCAGTGCAAAAATAGCTTGCGGACAGTCAGTTGATGATGAACCCTTGGCGTAGTCTCTAGGGACCAAAAATCGTCGAATGGTTCTCGCGCATCCTCCCGAGCTTTTTACTTTTTTTTCTTTTCTTCTTTCTACTGCTGATAGCCCAATGCCACGAGCTAGTTGTATAACGCACTGAAAAAAGTCATGTTGGATAGCTCGATGTCAGAAGAAGAGGGTGGAAGAAGAGAGAGAAAAAAACTTACCTTTCTTTTTCGATTTCGAAGGCGAACATTGACGAGATCTATCAATATATATCCGAAGAGAAAAGGAGAGCCTGAGGGGTTGATACTGCGTGTGCTACCTTTCACGAATATTTCGCTTCCCGATATTATTGCCACGGAATATTTCTTGGGCACGTCCCATATGCGGAAGGATATGTGTTATTGTGTCCTCCAGTTCTATAGGCACATGTCAGTTTTCTTCGATATTACAGCCATTTCAACTTTGCTTTTATTCCTTTTGTTCTCGGTATAACAAGCCAAGTTGTTTTCAAATGATTTAGATACGCTAACAGCTGATTGTTGATATTTTTTTCTTTACTTTTTGAAATTATTTTTCAAGCAAAGATTCATCAATTATTCAATACTTTTCAACTTCTGATATTTTACTCATTGCATGTGTAACTCTGATACACGATCGGATTCATTTACGTTCTTTCTTCTATGATATTATAAAATTAATAAATATACAATATCTTGATTCGCGCTTGTTACAAATCTGAACATCCCTGTAATTAAACTAGTAAAATCGCGTTGTCCCGTAGTTTTAAGCCGAAAAGCTAGGGGACGTAACAGCGTTGAAAATATTCATCCGACACCACTATCGAATTAAGGTGGCTCGTTCTTCGGCACGAGAAGCTAACACAATTACCCGACGGTACTTCGGGCACAATAACTTTGGCAGCTCTAAAACGTTCAATTAAGCTCGCAAAAACAAGCACACAGGACGCGAGAGTTGCTCGCTATGCGTTAGACGACCAGCTGGTGAGAAAATTCAATTATTTTGTTAAATTTCCCCATTTTCCACGCACACCAGCAATGCGTTTAGCCCTTCGTCTGTGCCGCTTTCGCTGCTACGCTTTGGCATCTTGAGAAAGAAACAGAAATTTGTTTAGTACGAAGGCGACTTAATTCGCTAAGGAGAAAAGGTTACTCTAAGGAGAGGCTGCATAGACGCGGACGTCTCTTTAAATACGCTTTTAAAATGTATTTCACATTTTTTAAGCTATTTGAGTTAGTTACGAGGGAAAATGTTATACTTTGTTTGGTGTGTAGTACATTTAATATTCAATAAAAAGCTCGGATGCGTATAGTTCGTTTTAGTATACGTATAGCGCATTCGGAATTAATAGAGAATGCAATGAATTAGAAACAATTATTCGAATATTCTACATATAAGTATCCACTTTTGTCTCAAAAAATCGAAAGTAAATTAGTAAGTACACTATTTATATTTAAAAATTGAAGCAATTCTGTAGAAGAAGATATTGTAAACATGGAAAGGACATTTAGTGGTGCTGAGATCG